AGTTTTGAACCTTTTTTAGCTCGAAGAAGCTTGAACCTTTTAGCTCTAAGAAGCTTGAACCTCTTTAGCTTCTCCAAGAAGCTTGAAACCCTCTTTCTTTATAAAAGAGGGCCCCCCTCCTAGGAGAGTTCCAAAAAATTGTTAAGGCAGAGCATTTTCTCTCTTTGTCTCTATAATTTGGCTAGAAATGTTTTCTTCGCCTATGCACCCACCTCAATAGCCAACACCTCCCCATTGAACCTAAGTTCTTTGAGGTTTGAGATGGTCCAAAGATTTTCTTGTCCAAGAACGGCTAGTTTGCCAGCTGTGCATGAAGCTGAACTATCCTCTTTCATTCCCCGTTTTTGCACACACTTTTAGCCTTCTTAGCATGCTTTTTTGAGCTTAACTTATAACTCATAAAAAGTTCTATTTTTGCAATGCGTTTGAAGTTTGTTTAGACATTTTTGTGGTTTGGTTTTCCTCCTCTTATGCCTGTTTGCCCTTTTTTGTGCCTTTTTGATTTGGACCACCTTGTATTGCCTTCTCTGGTGGGATAGTGTTTGAGTCCTAAGAAGGAGGGGCCATTACCCCTCTCTTTGTGTCTTAAATACTTGTCATATTATGCCTCATATTGAGCACCTTTGTTAAGTTCATGTTGGCCATGTTCTTAGCTTGTTTTGTTATTTTTCTGTCATATCCACTATTTTTGCCTATCTTGGTCAATTCCAGCATGGTTTAACACTGTAGTGTAATATTTGCAAAACTAGTCTTGTATGTCCTCATGTTTGAGCATGTGTTTCTATGTTTTTGCACATCTTAGTAGATTTTTGGTTGTAGTTTAACATACCTTAGATCGTTGGTTGTTTGGTTCGGCCCTTGCATGCCTCATACACTGTAGTGTAAATCACACCACACTAGCTTTTATCTCCTTAAAATAGCATCCATTTTAGCTATTTCGGTCCAATTTTAGCATGTTTCTTGGCTTATTTATCAATCGTCAGCCCTTGCCTTAGGTTTGTTTGGTTAGCCCTTGCATGCTAACCATACACTTGCCATGCAACCATGAAATAACCTAACATGCTCATATTGTCACGCTGATTTTGGTTGTCTATGTTCACCATGACTTGTTTTGCATGCTTTGTCAATCTGCGTTAACTGGTATGAGTCATTTAGGTATCATTACTTGCCTTCATTTCAATGATGTGCTCATTTGTAGTGTAATTCAGTCTAATGTTTCTATGTCATGCACATGCATTATCACTCTTTAAATGCGTTGAGAGTTGGCTGATGCTCCCTTATGACCATTGCATGAGCTCATCTTTGTGCCGTCCGAAGCCACCATCCCAAAACACATTTGGCATCCTGATTTGCCTTGCATCAGTCTGTTTGGGTGGTTTCATCATTTGAGCATCGCTTGCATGTCTATAGGTTATTTCAACTCCACTCAGCTTCGTCCTAAGTCTTTAACAATGCATTACATGGAGTGTTTGCATGCTTCGAGTCAATTTTTGAATCATTTAGTATGTCATTCAGAGCTGGAATGTATGCCATTGTTATGCCATGTTTCATCTTTGCCATGCTCTTGGGAGTTGCATCTTGTGCTTTAGCTCGGGCCATGCATTGTGCATGTTTGCATGAGTTTCATGCCTTTTGCTCATCTTGGCCACTGATTTTGGCATGCTTGAGAGCTACCCATGTTAGGTAAATATCCATTCTCACACATTGTTGATGCTTGTTTCATTTTAGCATGTGTGCATGCTATTTTTTTTTTTTTTACATGTCCACAGTTAGCTTATATGCCTATTGCATATTTCATGTTAACATTGCTCATGTTGCATTAGATTGTTGCATACTGATATTTCCAGCTTGCTGGCTTGCCAAGTTGCATTGCATTGTGCGTGGCATCCCTGCCTCTTGATCAATCATGATAGAGGTTGAAGCCCTTTATTGTTTTGTCATTTCATTCCATATCAAGTTGCACACTTTAGCTCTTGCCATCATGCATTGAAAATGCGTGATGATGTCCGCAAGGGTCGAGACTACACTCTCTTGAGTCTTAAACATGATAGGAGGGTGTTTGCATACATGCTTTGAAAATGCATTTGCCATGCTTATTGCAACCCTCTGCTGCCACAAAAAGGATTCTGCCAGAAGAAGATGGGCCGGTTCGGCCATCTTCAATGCCGACCGGCCTGTAATTATTGGCCGAGAGCTCCACTTTAATGGCCGATGACCATTTTCAATGCCGGTGTTGGCCTTCCTTTTGGCCCGTGACCTTTCATAATGCTCCACAAGGTGGTTCAGAAACATCCTTGGGACTTGTACATTCCAGAGGTTGCAGAAACAGTTTGTAAATAGAGGGCAACAATGTGCATGGCAACGGGTTTCGACGAGCGAAGTCGAGCATGCATCGTCCCATCATTCGAGATGGTTCGCCACCTCCTTTTGTAATTAATTTTTAATTAATTAGATTTTGTAATATTTTAATTAAGCTAGAGAGTAATTTTACTTATTTGTTTGTATTATTTTATTCGACCTCCCGGAGAGAGGACAATTGTGTTATATAAGTGTGCAGGTGAGTGGTGCATGTCTTCTAAACCCCTCACTTCTTTCTCCCGTTTTTACTTACCTGCTTTCAATGTTATTTTAGGGAACATTTCAATTAGTCATACTTATATACATGTTTGCCATTCCATTCAATCTGTATTGCATTGCACCGGGCTCGGCGCATTTCATGCTAACTGGCATTGTATTTCAATTCCAAGTTGAAATACCATGTATTGGGATCGTCGCACCCTCATATTTGCCATTCTAGGATAGCCGAGCCTATTCTTAGTGCATTTTGCAATGCGTTGGCATTAACCATCTTTAACAATTGAACTAGGGATCATGCATGATTAACTAAACTAGTTTCTTGGTTTGGCTCGGAGTACACTGTAAGTGTTTATTGCCTTTAGGCATCTCGGCATTGAGTGTGAATTGTTAACATGGACAAGCATTGCTTTCCCATGAGGCTTAATTGCTTAGTATATTAAAAAAAAAAAAAAAAAAAAACTTTTTTTTTGGCCCTTGGGGGGGGGGGGAAAAAAAAAAAAATGTTTTTTTTTTTTTTTTTTTTTTTTTTGTAAAAAAAAAAAAAAAAAAATACCATTCTATCTATTTGTTGGAAATTTCATGATTAGTGAATATTTTCCTCTCTTTTTATGATCTTATTCGTTTTTAATGAGTCTTTCTAGGGTATAAAAAATAGATAAAAATGAAAAAGAAAATGAAAATGAAATATTTTTTATTAAAATCAAAACATTTTTTTTACAAATTTTAGAACTCTATAACATTTTACTTATTTTTTAACATTTTTTATCTTGATTTTTGTCTTCTTAATGTCTCAAGGCAATCATTAGTATTTTCTTTATACTTTTTGCTAGTGTTAAAATTGCAATATAATTGTCATTACTCTTGTCTTGTTAAAAAACAAAAGAGTCAAGAAAAAAAATATGTTTGAAATTTCTATTTTTTGAATCCTTGAATTTCACCATCCCATGGTCTAAAAGAACAAATTTCACAATGATTTGGTCCATTTGGAAATAGGATTTAAAATTCTGTCCTCATTAATGACAACAGTTAAACTATGAAAAACCCATCTAAATGCACTACAATAAATTACACTTTTAGCGACTAAATTTAGTGAGTAAAAAAAATTTAGTCACCAAAAGTTATGGAATTGGCGACCAAAATTATATTAGTCCATTAAAGTACAATATTTAGCTACTAAATTTTTTTTAGTCAAGGTATATTGATTATTAGCGACTAAAAAAAATTTAGTTACTAAAAATGTCACAATTGGCGAGTAAAAAATTTTTTAGTCGCTGTATAGTTAGTTTTGGCTACTAAAATTATTTAGTCGCCGAATGAAAAACAAAAATTTACTTTTTATCTTTTGGTCGCCAAGAATTTATTTTTAACGACTAAAAAGGATTTTGGTCGTTGTATAGTTAATTTTGGTTACAAAAATTATTTAGTCGCTAAATGAAAAACAAAAATTTACTTTTTATTTTTTGACGACCAAAAGTTTTGTTGCCAAAAAATTATTTTCAGTGACTAAAAAAATGTTTTGAGGGAGATATTTCAAATTTTGAAGGGATTTATAAAATTAATTGGCGACTAAAATGTTTAGTCACGAATTGTTGTAATTTTTAAATATATATATATATATATATATTTTGCACATAAAAAAAAGAATATAACAAATGCATCATATTTTCAATCAATTATTTTATATTGGCTTTTATTCAAAATTTAAAAATAATGTACAAGCAAAATTTATAACTAAATTAAGAATAAATTTATTCCTAACGACATTTTTTTACTTCTATATAAATACTTAAAAAAATAAACCTAAAAAAGGTAATCAATATAAATATTGTACATTAAGTAAAAAAATGTGGTTAGCAATTATACTTACATAAATTTACTATGATTTTAATTTCAAATTTATATAAAAAAAGAAAAAAATATATTTTAAAAGCATTTTATTTAGTTACTACCAAATAAAGTTTTCCTAATAAAAAGGAAAGTTATAAAATTTTGTTACAAATTTTCAAATGTCTATTGTTAAACATTCTATTATACTTGCTTGTATGTTTGCTTGCTTGCTTTGGAAGTTTTGATGTTTGATTTTTGCTCCACATTTATCGTATTGTTTTATTTATTTTTTTTCTTCTTACTTGATTTTCACATGATACTTTTTTCATAATGCACCTCTGAGTGTATTAGTGAAAATAGTATACACTTAAAATGCTCAAAATTACAATATATAGAAAAAAAGTAAGTAATTGTTCAAAACTGAAACTACTTTAAGAAAAATAAAAAATAAAAACAAAAATGAAATTGTTTGAATAGAAAATGATTTATTTATTTATTAATTAATTTTTAAAAATAAACTTTAAAAGAAAATAAAGAAAACTATATAAAAATTAAAAAAAGTATAGAAACTAAACATAAAATATAATACAAAAAATAAATAAATTATAGGATTTTCAAGAAGTGGGACTCAAAAATAAATTTTGTAAAGTCTTGTCTATTCATATGCTTTTTGTGTATGTTTTTTGTATTTATAATCTTGAGAATGACATTGAAATAATTTACACTTCGTGTATTAGGTCCATCCAATAACTTTAGCAAGTACAGATGTAATAAATTTCACAACACAAAACACAAACAATTGTGAGATAAAATATCTAAAAAAATGAAAGTAACATTCAATGATGATATAGAAGCACACCTGACATTTTAATTAAAGATATAACCAAATAAATCGCCATAGAAGAGAAAGACAACTTTAATTTTTCATCACAACAATTACATAACTCAATATATAATTTTAATATCTCTCACTCTTCCACACATCCGATTCTCTATCAATATTAGAATGAATGCATGAACAAAAAAAAGGCAAACATTTGAGAAGATAAAGAGATGTGATTTGAGACTTTTCAATATCTGAATTCTATTAATTAATAGTTATTAGGTTTCAATGGTTGGACTTATAATATTTTTTAGTCATTAAAGCCAAGTTGTTTGATTCATCTATATTCACTTGATAATTTGAAAGTAGACTCAATGTCAAGCCTATACACAAATACTTAGCACATTTATTATTAATGAAATGCACAATGTAATTTTTTAATTTTTTTTTTCACAATTGCAACTTATTATTTTTTAATAAGAATTTATATTTGTTTTAAATTTTTTTAATATACAAATTATTTTTTACAGTGTAATTTTTTTTTTCTTTTTTTTTCGCAACTGTAACTTATTATTTTTTAATAACAATTTATATTTGTTTTAAATTTTTTTTAATATAGAAATTATTTTTTTTTAAGATTTTAATGAAATGTACAGTGTAATATTTTTTCTTTTTTTCCACAATTGCAACCTGTTATTTTTTAATAAAAATTTATATTTGTTTTAGATATATTTTTAATATACAAACTATTTTTTACTATAATTTATTTTTTCGCAATTACAACCTGTTATTTTTTTAATAAGAATTTATATTTGTTTTAAATATTTTTTAATATACAAATTATCATTTTTAGATTTTTTTATAAAAATAATTTAACAATCGCATAATTAACTATAGTATATGAGAGAAGTTGAAAATGGTGTGACAATAGATATGGAAGAAGTCAGAAAGGCTTATGGGTTGAGACAAGTCAATAAATGTTAAGATTTTTTTTTAAAATTAAAAAATTAAAATTTAGATATTGGAGCTCCACAAGATTTGTGAATTAGAAACCCCTTTTACTTATATAATTGGTGTTTGGCAAGTGAGATTGTAGCCAATTTTTGACTAAAATCTACAAAAAGACAAAATAAGATAAAAATTAAAATAGCCAATAAAATAAATTGTCACATCAAATTCATAATCATTTCACTTTTTTTCTTACAAATATCACATCCAACTATAAAAAAATTTAACTTTCTTTCCAAACATAAAAATTTTAGCCGATTAAAATAACTAAAAACTAAAATAATCTACTAAAATAGCAACTTTCCAAACCCCTACAATTTATATAGATTTCACAACTAAAAATTCAATCCCGTTCAAAAAAAATTAAAATAAAAATTCAACTAAATTCAAAAACAATTTTACTTCAAACTATTCGGAACTAAATCATAAATTGAAAAAGGTGTGCCTCCCCTCTGCAATAAATAGATGGAAGTTGTCGTGGCTCTTTGTGTTACACCTGTGACCCTACAATCAGGGAATTCTGTTTTTGATTACTACCTTAAAAATGGTAAGCATTGGTATTTATCGCTATGATTATAGTAAGTACAGAAACTGTTAGGGTGGTGATTGTATGACATTGTCCCCTAGCGAGCCGTAGAATTTGGAGGATCGATTCCCATTGACGTGTAATAAGCTTTTTCTGCATTTGCCACTCGATTTTGGAACATTGTCCACTCTCTTTTACACCGCTCCCTCACCTGGCAATAACAAACACATTTTTTCATTTTTATCTTTTTATGAACAAATTACTGAGATCATCATAAGCTGCAAACTACATCTGTGACTAAGACAAACTTGTACAAGAAAAATCATGCAAATAGAAACATAGAAACACGACTATTATGACTGAATGTACGTGCCACTGAGAGAGTCACTACAAGAAAAACTAGAATTGGCGATTAAAAATAGAATTTTCGTCGCTGAAAGTAGCAGAATTGGCGACTAAAATGGAATTAGCAGCCAAAAGTACTTTTGGCGACTAAAACAGTTTAGTGGCCAAATGTATAGTTATTGGCGACTAAAAATCAGTTTAGTCGCCGATTATATGGGTTTTAGTGACTAAAACAATTTTAGTAGCCAAAAGTGAAGGTTTTTGGCGACTAAAAAAATTTAGTAGTCAAAAGTATAGGTTTTGGCGACTAAAAAATAGTTTGGTCGCCGATTATACGTGTTTTACCGACAAAAAAAAAATTTGTAGCCAAAAGTGAAGCTTTTTGGCTACTAAAAAAAATTTAGTAGCTAAAAATCTACAATTGGCGACTGAAATTTAGTTTAGTCGCCAAAAGTGGTTATTTTTAGCCGAGAATTAATTTTTTTAGCGATTAAAATATAATTAATAGCCAAAACTATAGAATTGGCGACTAAAAAACAGATTTAGTCGCCAAAAGTGATCTCCTTTTTTTTTTAATAAATAATTTATTTTTTACATAAATTATATTGAATAAAAATAATTATATTTATATATATAGTTGTATATTAATATGGGTCAATATACTATATAAATAATATATGTTGCATATATATTCATGTGGTGTTGTAGTGGCATAGAGGAGAAAGTGTGTTGCTAAAGGTTTAGATTGTGGGAGGTTGGTGGTTCGAATCTCCGAAAAAGTAGAAAAGGAAGTTTTTTTTTTTCACGGAACAACCTTTGGCGACTAAAATTATTGGTCGCCAAGAGTGTTTCTTTTGGCGACTAAACGGTTTGGTCGGCGATTCATTGACTCTTGGCGACTAAAAGATTAGTCGCTAAATGTATAATTTTAAAAAGTGTAATTGACTATTGGCGACCAAAACTTTGGTCGCAAAAGACCTATTTTTTGCCGACTAAAAAAGTTTTAGTCGCCAATACCTCCAGCGACCATGTATTCGCGACAAAACCGGCGACTAAAAATTTAGTCAGGGAGATTGAAAAGTCGACTTTTGACGACTAAAAATGGACTTTTGGCAACTAAAAATGTAGTCGCCAAAGGTGTTTTTTCTTGTAGTGAGTATTAAAGTACTTGTGCACTTAAAAATGAACAATATAATGATAAAATTAAAAAAATGACAAGAAATTGTTGGAACAAAGGGTCTTGAATTCTTCAAATGGTGGTCTTCGGGTCTTCAAAATTTGGCAATGACTGTGTCTATATAGAACAGAAAATTAGTGCTTTAAGTCGTGTTACTAAGTCGCTTTTCTAAAGACAATATTTGTACCCACCAAAAGGTGTGCAGGGGGTTACAACAAATTTGCCTCCAGGATACAATGAAGCCTGATCTAAAGATTTAGTCTATCGGCGTCTGCACCGGCGACAATAGATCAGAACACTCTTGATATAATCAACAAACCAAAACACTGATAATCAAATCTGCAGAACTTGATTATCAATAAGAAAAGCAGAAATTTGCTTAAGAAACTCTTGATCGAAAATCCAAAATCAAGAGGGAGAGAGAGAGAGAATTGCAGGAATGCTTTTCAAGATTTTGGATGGAATGAAATGGCTGATTTCGTAGCCGATTTATAGGCCTTAATGGATCTGATCGAATGGTCATGTCCCTTGATCGCATCCGATCAGATCTGACTATTGGATCGACGATCTATGGTGCAGATTATTCTAACACCGAATAGATGCCTTGACTAATCACACCTGATCATGATCGAGTGTCATCTCGTCCGTACGATTGCGCGCATCTCCAATCAACAACTATGACCAACCCGCTCCAGATTGGACACATAACCGTTTGATTGTTTGGTTAACTCATTGCCAACGAATGACAAGTCACTGCCACGTGGAGCTGACTGTATTCCATGTCACCCATGCCATGCTGGATCTACGTTATCGCTCCAACCTGTCCGGTGCAAATAGGAAAGTGCCCTCATGGCGCCTTGCGCCGATGCGTCTGTGCTAAGTGCAAAGTGCGCCATCAAACACCACACAGCCCACTGCCCACGCTACGCGTGCGCGCACATGTGCTTATACGGATGGTGCGAAGCACCATCCTTGCGGTGTGGGTGCATGCACGCTAGCTTTCATCCCATAATTCTATATTCAAAAATTCCATGTAGCACTTTATTAAGTGCTCCACGTTTTGCTCTCTTTCCAATGTGGAACAAAGTCCCCAAGCTTAATTAATGTTTTCCAAAGAAAAACAAGGAAGGTTTTGAAAACACCCAAAAATTAAACTATAAATTTTAAAAACCATTTTGAAAATTTCCTAACATTCCCCCACCATTTTCAAAATACCAGATAATGACTCTTGGTTCACTTGACAGCCTTATGCATAAGTGAAGATATCTTACGATTTGAATCATTCACTTAGTGAAGACATCTCAAAGTTAGTCAAGATGGCATAGTAGACTTGTCTTTGAACTAGTAATCTTATACGACTAGCCGGACATGTCTCACGCACAGTACATGTTACCTCAAGTATTCAAACAAACCGATACGTGGATTAGCCTTGTGTGTATATCCTATTCATGAGCGCTCTAGAGTCAAGCCCTTAGACTCATAGGAAGCGGCACCACCTCCTATACTCACATAGGTAAGCTTACCGAGTGTACCTCTATAATTTATAGTACCCTAACAACCCAGTTGTAAGCTTATTAAGAGTTTGCTAACTCATCCTCTTCTTTTCGCATTACATGTACCAAGCATTTCAACCTTAGGATGAAAATGAAATAAAACTAAGTGCTTGCAATCACGACATATGGTGTACTTGGGCTCATTGAACTCAAAACTTGACATTTCTTCAAGCGTTGAGTCGAGTTTCCACCAGGAGTGATTATGTTAAGTGGGCTTGAGACCCATCCCTTTGATATTTTCCACACTAAATCCCTTACAAGTCCTTTTGTTAAGGGGTCAACCAAATTTTCACTTGATTTTATATAAATAATAGTAATCACACCTTCTGTGATTAATTGCCTAACACAACTATGCCTCAGTCCTATATGCCTGGACTTTCCATTATAGACATGGCTATAGGCCCGCGATAGAGTTGCTTCACTATCACAATGCAAAGATATTGGTGGCATATGTTTTGGCCATATCTTAATCTCTAACAAGAGATTCCTTAGCCACTCTACCTCTTTGCTACAAGAAGCCAATGCGACAAACTCTGACGTCATGGTTGAGTCTGTTATGTATGTTTGCTTCTTAGAACCCCAAGAGATAGCTCCTCCTCTAAGAGTAAAAATCCAACCACTTGTGGACAAGTGATCTTCACGGTTAGTTATCCAACTAGCATCCGTGAATCCTTCCAGCACTGCTGGATAGTCATTATAGACTATTCGATAGTCTATTGTTTTCCTCAAGTACCTAAGTACTTGGTTAACAGCATGTCAATGCACACTACTGGGATTACTAGTGTATTTACTAAGTTTTCCCACTGCAAAAGCAATTTCTGGTCTAATGCAAATCATAGCATACATCAAGCTATTACTCTTGAGTATTCTAGTTGATCAACAACTTTTCCAGTATTAGGATACAATTTCAAATTTGAATCAAAAGATGTAGACATAAGTGTACAATTATATTGATTAAATTTCTTAAGAATTTTCTCAACATAGTGCGACTGGATTAAAATCAAATTATTGTCCTCTCGTTTGATCTTAATACCCAAAATTACATCAGCTAAGCCCATGTCTTTCATACTAAAGCTAGACAATAAGAAACTTTTAGTACTTTCAATGACATCATTGTCAGTACCAAAAATAAGCATGTCATCTACATACAGACATATGATTACACCTCTATTTCCAGTAAACTTACTGTACACACATTTATCAGATTCATTTATCCTAAAGCCATTTGACACTATTACTTTGTCAAATTTCTCATGCCACTGTTTTGGAGCTTATTTCAGTCCATATAGTGACTTCACGAGTTTACACACTTTGTGCTCTTAACCCTGTACAATAAATCCTTCCGGTTGTTGCATGTAGATTTCATCATCTAACTCTCCATTTAAGAAAGCAGTCTTAACATCCATTCGATGGATTTCAAGCTTATAGATTGAGGCTAAGGCAATCAACACTCGAATGGTGGTGATTTTAGCCACCGGAGCATATGTATCAAAATAATCGATACCCTCATTTTGAGTAAAACCCTTAGCAACTAATCTTGCTTTGAACTTGTCAATTGTGCCATCAACTTTCATTTTCCTTTTGAAAATCCATTTACAACCAATGGGTTTGGATCCAAGTGGCAAATCAGCAAGTATCCAGGTATTGTTACCCATGATAGAATCCATCTCATCGTTTATTGCTTTTTTCCAAAATGCAATATCTTTAGACTTCATAGCTTCTTCAAAGGTTAATGGATCTGAATCCATATTCAAAGAAATCATTGTTTGCTTATAATAAGCTTTTCTAGTTCCTTCTACAAGGTAAACAGTGAAATTAGGGCCAAATGACTTCTCAGTCCTAGCCCTAAGCTCCTCCTTAGTTCAATAAGCTCATTAGGTTCATTGGGCTCAATAGGTTCATGTCGTTCACTTTCCTCTGTAGACATCAAAGGAGTTGATTCATTTTCCTGATTAGAATCCAACCTTGGAATGGTTGTGAAACGATTCTCATAAAATACTGCATCACGTGATTCAATGATGGTTTTTGTTTCCATTGAACCATTGGGCTCTACTACCAAAAACCTATATGCTTTGCTATGTATAGCATAGCCAAGGAATATGCATTCAATTCATTTTTCACCTAATTTCTTCCTTTTACGTTTAGGCACTCTGACTATTGCTCTACAGCCCCATGTTTTCAAGTAACCAAGATTAGGTTTCTTGTTTTTCCAAAGTTCATAAAGAGTAATATTTCTTCCCTTGAGAGAAATTCTATTAAGTATGTGACAGGCAGTGAGTAAGGCTTCACCTCAAAAACCAGAACTTAAACTGGAGTAAGAAAGCATAGCATTAATCATATCTGTTAATGTCCTATTCTTTTTTTCAGCTACTCCATTTTGTTATGGTGTGTAGGGTGCAGACTTCTCATGAATAATACCAACATTTTCACAATATTCTGAAAAATGGTATTCACCGCTCTATCAGACCTAAGTCTCTTTATTTTGATATTACTCTGATTTTCTACTTCTGTCTTAAAAATCTTAAATTTGTCAAGCACCTCATCTTTTGAATGCAAAAGATAGATATGACAGTACTTAGAAAAATCATCAATAAATGTTACAAAATATTTCTTACCACCTCTAGTGGGGGTACTATGCATGTCACATACATCACTACGCACAAGTTCAAGCAGAGGCGTGGTTTTATCTATTTTAGGAAATGGAATGGGAGTAATTTTAAATTGTACACAAAATTTGCATTTTCCAAACATATAAATATTATACTTAGGAATTAAATCTAAATTAATCATATCATGCATTTTCCTAGTATTAACATGACCTAAACGAGCATGCCATAAAGAAAGAGAATCAACAATATAAGCAGAAATAGATGTATTATTAAGAATGTTAAATTTGAACATTCCTTAATACATGTAACCCTTTCCAACAAAAATCCTACCCTTAGACAAGACAAATTTGTCTGACTCAAATACTAACTTGAAACCATGTTTATTAAGCAGGCTTCTAGATACAAGGTTTTTCCTGACATCAGGTACATGATAAACATCATTAAGACTTAGGACTTTTCCAGATGTGAACTCTAGATCCACCGTCCCTCTGCCGTTGATAGCAGTAGATGAAGAGTTGCCCATGTAGAGAACTGTTCCATCACTCACTTGTTCATAAGTAGTGAAACAGCTCTTATCGTTGCAGACGTGCCTTGTTGCTCCTGAGTCAATCCACCAGTCACCAGCATTTTCAAGCATGTTCACCTTCAGATACAACAACCACAAACTTATTCTTGGCATTTGATGCTTTTGGCTTCTTCTTGTATGACTGGCATTCATTTCTGAAGTGCCATGGCTTGCCACAATGCCAGTAAGTGCCTTTCGGCTTCTTAGCATTTTTCTCAAATTGGGGTTCATGCTTACACTTCTTTTTGTTGAACCTCTTACCATCATCCACCATGTGGATCTTGGACGTCTAAGCCAATTGGTTATCTTTACTTTCAGGTAACCTTGACTCTTCCTCAACTCGGAGGTGTTGAACCAATTCTTCTAAAATAAGATCTTCCTTTTTGTGTTTCAGAGTTTTCTTAAAATCTATCTAAGAAGATGGTAGTTTCTCTATTATAGATGAAACTACAATAGATTCATCCATGTTCATATTCTTTTGTCGAAATTGACTTAGAATATGTTGGATCTCATGGAATTGTTCCATAATGGGTTTTGTATCAATCATTGCAAAACGCATAAAATTACTAACAAGAAATTTCTTATTGTCGGCATCCTCAGTGAGATACTTTGACTGTAATAAGTCTCAGAGTTGCTTTGTCATTTCTAGATGTTAATACACATTGAATAGAGAGTCTGACAGTGCATTCATAATGTGTCCTCGGGCAAATGTAGTCGTCATTCTCCCATTTGGTTTTGGTACGGGTTTGCTCCACAGTCTCATCTTCTTACTTTATCGGATAGAGGGTAGTTAGCACATAGACCACTTTGAGAGTGGTGAGCAAAAAATGCATCTTCTTTTGCTAGCGTCCGAAATTTCCTCTATCAAAATGGTCAAGCTTCATGAAATCTTGAGTCATTTTCTGAATAGACATCGCCATATCCAAATATTGTCTTTAGATTGTTAGAACAAAGGGTCTTGAATTCTTCAAATGGTGGTCTTCAGGTCTGCAAAATTTGGCAATGACCTTGTCTATATAGAACAGAAAATTAGTGCTTCAAGTCATGTTACTAAGTCGCTTTCTTAAAGACAATATTTGTACCCACCAAAAGTTGTGCAGGAGGTTACAACAAATTTGTCTCCAGTATACAATGAAACCTGATCTAAAGATTTAGTCTATCGACGTCTGCACTGACGACAATAGATTAGAACACTCTTGATATAATCAAGAAACCAAGACACTGATAATCAAATCTGCAGAACTTGATTATCAATAAGAAAAACAGAAATTTGCTTAAGAAATTCTTGATCGAAAATTCAAAATCAAGAGGGAGAGAGAGAGAGAATTGCAGGAATGCTTTTCAGGATTTTGGATGGAATGAAATGGCTGATTTCGTAGCCTATTTATAGGCCTTAATGGATCTAATCGAATGGTCATGTCCCTTGATCGCATCCGATCAGATCTGACCGTTGGATCGGCGATCTATGGTGCAGATCATTTTGGCACCGAATAGATGCCTTGACTAATCACACTTGACCACGATCAGGTGCTATCTCATCACTACGATCGTGCGCATCTCCAATCAACGGTTATGATTAACCCGCTCCAGATCGAACACACAACCGTTTGATCGTTTGGTTGACTCATCGCCAAAGGATGACACGTTATTGCCACATGGAGCTGACTGTATTCCACGTCATCGTTCCAACCTGTCTGATGCAAATAGGAAAGCGCCCTCATGGCGCCAATGCTAAGTGCACCATCAAAAGCCACACAGCCCATGCCATGCACATGTGTGGTGCGAAGCATCATCCTTGCGGTGTGGGTGCATGCACACTAGCTTTCATCTCATAATTCCATATTCAAAAAATGTTCCATGTAGCACTTGATTAAGTGCTCCATATTTTGCTCTCGTTTCAATGTGGGACAAAGTCTCCAAGCTTAATTAATGCTTTCCAAAAAAACAAGAAAGGTTTTGAAAACACTTAAAAATTAAAATATAAATTTTAAAAACCATTTTGAAAATTCCCAACAGAAATTATGTTGACAGCATTTCATACCGCTTGCCAAGGCGCCTTCCCCTTCTCTGCTTCGCCCTACCAAACAAGAAAAAGGTAATTCAGTATTATGTTCATCACATCTATTCTATTTATATAAAATGTAGTATTCATTTGGTGCGAACATTTTCTCAAGCTTCATCAAACTTTTTCTTGTTTTCATACCCATAAATTTGCAAACTGCTCACACATTGTTTCAGAAGTATAATTCTGTTAATTTAAAACTCCACATCAAGTAAAACAACTGCTAAAACAGTTTTCAAATTCAACCATCTTCTTCATTCAGTGCCCCAAGTGCTTACCTGGTTCCCAAGTGAAGGAACAGTTTGATGAACTATCCACTGAGCATCTATAACTCCAATTTTCGCATGAGCAGGCTAGTTTGAAGAGGAAAGAGAGATGTACTCGTTAATGCCTTGTATGTTATTTGTTTCAAAACCAACAAACAGGTGAATATTAAAGAAGATAAAATTCAAATAAGTAAAAACGATGGCTACTGACCTCTACACATTTTTGCAGGGCAAAGTCCAGACCCCATCCGTGGACCAAGTCATTCTACAACACCCAAGATAAGGTATTTTTTATACAGAGTGAAGAGCGGGAAGGAATCATATGAGGACTTGGGTGGAGTTTGACCCTTGTTTTTTTTACAGCTTTTCTATTGGCATTTTTCTGTCTTTAGTGATTTTTTTTTTTTTTTATTCAAAAAAATTTCACTTTTAAGTTCTATTAGATTAGACGGGCCTTAAAAAAATAGAAAAAGTCCAATAAAGACAACAAACAAACAAAAAAAATCTTAAAAAATCGAGTTTTTTTTACTTTTGGTTTTTAGTGAACTTTCTTATGGATTTTTAAATTTTTGAATCTTTCTAGACTAGGTGAACTTGAAGTAAAAAAAAAAAAAAAAAAAAAAAAAAAAAAAAAAAAAAAAAGAAAGAGAGAAGACACAAATCTTAATAAAAAAATATATATATGATAACTGCTCCGAACCTGAATTAAATGCCACACGCAGCGCCATGCATCTCTAGAAAACACAGGAGCCATGATCTCAACAAATCTACAAAATAAAAGGAAGTGGAAAGAATTATTAGACCCTGTTAGAAGATCCTTCTGGAATAGAAGTGATTAATTAATGATAATAATAACTATTCATACGCTGCACAAGGAGGCGAATTTGAGTTAGCGCACCAGCTTGGTTTCTCCTCTGGTTCACTGGTTAGAAAATGTTGGGGGTGGGGGTGTTGGAATTAAGTCATTTCATCAAATAATTTATCCGAAGGCAAATAAGGTTTGCAGTGAATAATACTCCCATCATTACTTGTGAGCTTCGCGATCACCTCTTCTCTTTGTCATCTGCCATGTTAACCCCCAGTCAGGCTCCAAACCGGGCTGGGAAATTTCCAACCCATGCTTCCGCACAAGCTTTATGTATCTGGGTCAGCCAAATAAAAGAGCAATTTTGAGTGAAATTATTCAAAACTTTCATTAACACAACATTTTGCATTTAACACTTACTCTTCGGCGTTGAAATGCTCAACCCCAAGATCTTCATCCCAGATAAATATGTAATCATATGGCGCCACAATATCAGGATACAGAAATCGTTTGGCATACCACCTTCAAGATTTAAAGTATTTAATGTATAGGCATTAAAGGAGTAGATCAACTATATGCATCATCGGAACTACCAGCAATGAGATGAAGTACTTATTTCATACCATTTTGTCTGCTTTAGAGCACTGACATGAATAGCTCGTTTTGACCACTCAAACTCATTCCATTCAGTTGTCCGACCATCATAATGAAACAGAAGTATTGTAAAGTTTTCGGAGAACTGTAGCAAAACGTGGCCATTAGTGTGCATGTGCACAAAGCACACAAACACAAACACAGAGAGAGAGACAGAGAGAGAGAGAGAGAGAGAGAGACCTTTTTGACTGCTGCATCAATATTATGTCTCTGATCATAACCAACTGTAAAGGTTACAAGATACTTCTGTTTGATAGTTAGGTCCTGCAAATGCCCACTTTATCAAACACCAAGTATCACATCCAACTAACTATTTAACATCAGACGGTCAATGTTTCTTTATAAATGCTATCAATCCATAATCTTCTTTGTGAGCAATAATTTCCCATTAGTAAGAAAATCTAGAAGATAACTGTCATCATTCTCATCTCATCCCAAGCCAACATAACACATTTACCACATTAGAATACTTCCATTTTCACCCCCCTAATCTTACTGATTATTTTTAGCATCTATGTTGTAAACCAGAAGACGCAAGCGCTACAAAAACTGTTCCAAACAATTCCACCTTACAATTTAAGCTCTGTTGTGAAATTTTCCAGTCCTAAATAAAAATACTTGTATCACATCAAACAACAAGAGAACCATCATGCACACGAAAATAAAAAAGTTGCGACAGAAAACAGATACCTCACTGGGTAAGCCCCACAATCTGCGGAGATAGAAGTCTGACTCAGCTGCAACAATGGCTGGGGGTAATATTTCTGCACCTCGTGGATTAGATGAGACCCAAATCTGTATTAGAATCATGAGCCCGCTGGAATGTCAAAGATGGATATAACTGTTGATCTCTCCAAGATATTAATGTAAGATCATCATTTCTAAGTCTTTCTCCATTAAATGGTTTGTTTGGTAAAAGATAAAGAAGGAAATAATTTTTGAACTTTCAAATCCAAACTCTTTTTTGCAGATAAACAATCAAATTTGAAATATTTTGTTCCAGTAAATTCTTAACTTTGTACAAATAATTTGCACCTTTCATCTCATATTAAGAACAAGGAAACAGATATACCTTTGACGTATTGTTCAATTTTTTAGCTTCAGTTGAGGTGTTTTTGTTGCCCTTCGAAGCAGACAAAGCATTCAAAAATGTTGAATTTTTGTCCTCATTATAGGAAAGATTAATTGAAGGAAGAAGGCTGGAAGGGACATTCAACTGCCAAATTTGGATGCAAAAAGAAAATATTCATCATGTAATCTGAATAAAACAAATAAAATTAACCAGAAGCAAAGAGGAATTATAGACAGAGACAGGAAAGAGAATACTTTGTGCACCTTCGCTAATGGAAGTGTTGGAAATGATGCTCCTATCAGGAAGCCAAAAACAACTCCAATAAAAGTCGTTACAATAAGCCTCACAGACTCATTTGGCTTTGTAACAATTGCACTGCAGACAACAATATAGTTGCTATTACAAATAACATCAATAAATTGAGCTCAATACCGCAATAAAATCAACCGAAGTCACAAACCTGCGTCCAAGGATCCCCATTTTATTCTATATCCATAAAAAAAGAAGCTCGAAGGTTTTGCATTGCTCTGCAAATTTTGGAAGGCCAATCCTTCAGAAAAGAAGAAAGATCCGTGTGGCAGGAAGATAAGACCTGAGAACAGGATGCATTGTTAATAAGGAAACTGTTAGATGAAAAAAATAAATAAATTATTGGAACTATATGTAAATTTCATGTAAATATACAATAAAGAATGTCTCTAATGAATTACCCAATAAAAAAATTAATACTATAGCAGTTTTATAATGAAATATCAACCACAAAATGTAGCAAAAATGAAAAAATCTTTCGGAGTGAATCATGCTAGTTTACGTCACAACCCAAAGTTGCTCCCAATTTTGATTGTGTCATAAAGCTAATATCATCAAGTACATTGCAGGATTTTGCATGGAGACAAGATGATGAAACCTACCCTAAGACTTCACATAAAAAGAATTCAGTCACCGGGAATTAGCCCAATATTTTCCAAAATTCCGAATCCCTCAAATTCCCTTCTCTCCTCTTCTTAATTCGTCTTAAAAACAAGATCGAAAGTGTAAAAGTCAAAAGCACAAAGTAATTCCTTAATCAACTCCTATACTCAAACCCAGAAAGTGGCAACCCTTTAGAACTCAATAGATTAATATATTTGGTTCCACACCCAACACACCACAAGTGACTCCGTAGTCAAGCAAGCAACAACCCATGTGCTCCATTTGATTATTGCACTTCTCTAGCACATACAGAGCACAGAACTAAGCACATTCAATTCAATTCCTCAACTAGGTAGACCCAAAAACAAGCCACCGTGAATACTTTTTGACCCTTCACAGATATACATCCAAATCCCCAGTATTATAATAGATAATACCAACTGTATAACTTAGATTCAAAGCTATTCCACATAGCTTGCAAAAACGTTTATCTAAACATGAAGGTAGAGCATTACTAATATTTTCAATAGCATTCGTTGTAATACATGTAAACTAATGCAGATTACAGATACCCATTTTACTCAAACATATACATATATATGGAGAGAGAGAGAGAGAGAGAGAGCCTGAAAAGCTGGGAATCACAATAAAGCTACTTTAATGTGGGTTGAATCTGGTGCTCCTACCCTTCAGAAGCTTCGTGATCACCTTTTTCTGATTGTATTTTATGTATAAGTGCAAAAGAGAATATTATAAACTGAAGAAGAGAGAATTTTTCGAGAAGAGAATGCTTTTTTTCAAGATTTTCAAAATGAGAACTTTAAACCCTGTGATGGGTTTTGTCTTTATTTCAAAAACCCCTTAATTGGCTTTGATGTGCTCTCATTGAGTTCATTGGCTACAGTTCAAGGATCAATAATAGTCCTAATGAGTAACTACTTTACCAACTTTGGTGTTTAGTTCAGTGGCAACTACTCAGATTTTCCCACTCAACGTTTGGGTTTAGATTAAATTTATTTTTCAGTATCCAGAGTATGCGGTTCGATGGAATTAAACCAGCGCTTCAACATCCAGAACATATGTGATGAGACTTTAGTTTCAACCTTGTTGTAGGATCAATGTTGGAGACAATGCTCCTTAACAAACATGTAAAATTACCTATCTGCATATTTCATATATTCAAACGAAAAATAAATAAATAATGAATAACAACTTCATTATTAAAATGAAAAAGAATCTTTTTAATTAAAATTGAAACAAGAAAAACCATGAAGGGACCAATACATGGGTTATACTTTCCTACTGAATATTGGGCTTTTACCATATTAGTGAGTATTGCTGATGCATCATTTGAATTATAAAAACCACTACCTTATAATCAAACTTCATACATTTTAAAATTTATTAAATTTTTAAATCAAACTTAAACAATTTATTACTTGACAAACTTTATACATTCTAAAATTTATTAAATTTTTAAATCAAACTTAAACAATTTATTACTTGACAAGTCGACTCAATTATATGCACCATAAGAAACCAAAATACTCGAGATTAACTCATCCTCGGCTAAATTAAAACTCCTTCAAGATCTACTCAAAAAGCAAACAAGCAAACTTAATAACATATTTTGAAAATTTCTTAAAATTTTAAACTAAATTTGAACAACTTATTATTTGACTCAACTCATTCACAGCCCTTCATTTGAATGAATTCAGAAAAGTGGTCAAATAACTTTACAGATATCACAAATATGCCGTTTTGAATCAATCTAAAAATGATCCAGAACAACAGCCACTCAAGTTCTTAGTATCATATTTCTCCTGTAAATTGCATCCACATATAATTGATAAAATTGCAAACAACATTTCACCAAAATAGTCACACCATCTTCATATATACAATTTTTTTCCTGAAATATGCATCAGTAAAAATTATACAACCTGTACATAACGAAGTAGAGAACAGGTGAGGAGAGTAACCTTTTCTCTATCAAATTATACAAAGAAATCGCAACCAAAGAGGCAAGGCAGTTGCCAAATTCCAACTTATTGTAAGCATAAAATCTGAAGTTGGACACAAGTTCATTTAACTGTTCAACAATAGTGTAGTTTCGCTTGCTTACTACACCTCCTAAGCTGGGCCGTCTAGATCAGATGCATCAGAAGAAGAGGGAAGCCAAAGTTCAACGCGGGTTCCACCTACTCCAAGCGAAGCGTCTGTTCTCCGTGGTGATATAACACGAACAACACATCCATAACTTTCCAGTATCTCTCGAGCAACAGTCAGCCCTGCAACAAAGTTCCATGTCATGTTGTCTTCAACCATATCTTCGGAAAGGAGATCTGCTCCAAATGGCGTGAGCGAATGCATCTGTGTCTGCAGGGAAATGAACTGAGAAACAGTTCATATCTTACCAATTACATGTACTACAATTGAAGTACAATGGCAATAAAGGCAAAACATTTTTTGGTAATTCAATAAACACAACTTGCTAAGAGCTTCTATTTTCACACATCAAAAATCTCAGTTCACACACTTGAGTACAACCTTTTTTGAATATAATTTTACCCCTTAAACAAATTACCTTTTTGGACAAAATCAACATTCTCAGTACACGCTGCCATCCAACACCACCACTACTAACCAGCCATGGCCACTGCTGCTAACCACACCACCACGATCCACCGAATGCCATGAAACCCTCCATCACCACGATCCCTCCCACCACTGTGATCCATCGACTGCCATATGAACCCCTGTGGGTTGAATCTGGTGCTCCTACCCTTCAGAAGCTTCGTGATCACCTTTTTCTGATTGTATTTTATGTATAAGTGCAAAAGAGAATATTATAAACTGAAGAAGAGAGAATTTTTCGAGAAGAGAATGCTTTTTTTCAAGATTTTCAAAATGAGAACTTTAAACCCTGTGATGGGTTTTGTCTTTATTTCAAAAACGGGGTTGGAGTAGTCGTGGACAGTGGGGAGGGGGGCTGGGGTGTTGGCAGAAAGTGGGGGAGAGGGTGACAGCAACAGGGGATAGTGAGGGAGGGATTGGGGTGGTGGGTGATGGCCAGTGGTGTTAAGGTTTAGTGGGTGTTTGGGAAGTGGGTTTTTATGTAAGTTTTTTTAGTTGTAGGATATTATTAGATAAAAAAATTTTAGTGTTTGGGAAGATAATTGGATTTTTTTGTGGTTGGATGTGATATTTGTGAGAGAAAAAGTAAAATGATTATAGGGTTAGATGTGATATTTTGTTTGGATGTGCTTTTTTTGGTTTTGTAAAAAGTTTGTCATTTAGTGAAAAAAATCAAAAAAAAATTCGGAACCCAAGTTCCCAAACACCACCTTAGTGTTAGGGTTTTTAGGTTGAAGGTAAGGGTATTTTTAATATAAATATGCGTGTATGAGAAAAATTAATACATTTGAATTTTTAGTTATGTTTACTGAAAAAAGATGTGGACAGAGAGTGAGTATTGGATGTGTGGAAATAAGCTCCTAAACTTTCTCTCTTTTTCTTATTGCTTTTCCTTTCACAACCGTGTGTCCCCCATCAGTACATTTCTATTTTCCCATCCTAGGGAAGATAGACTTCACACTCGTAGCACCTACATCCTCAAAGAATGAAACTTCTTCAGTCAATCTCAGTACAAATCTTGGGTACAGCACATCGAGGAGGCTAGGGGGTCAATCTCTATGCTTGTATGCAAGTGACACATGGAGGCTAACAGGGGATTTACAATAGCTAGATTAGTAGTAGGGAGGAAATTAGACAGTTCAATTTTTACCATGTAGTGCATATCCAGTCCATCATCATCGATTATCACAAGAACACCTCCGGCTGGTGCTCCAATAGACACAATTTCAACCTTCCCTCCAACGTGTGTGCGCAGTAAAGCCCCCTCAATTAGATTGCTCAAAGCCTGGCGCAAAGCAGGTTCTTCTACAGCAACTTGCAAGGAATGTGAAAGTCCACGTAGTTCAACCATGCGTTGTTGCTTATGAGCCAGAGGTTTTACAGCCCCAACCAAATCTTCTAGTACACCAGAAACGTTGCATGGTCTTCTGAAATAAACGAGCATAAGAAACATACATTTTCAGAATGCATACGGACCAATGAATCTACAACTCTCTTGTGAGCACATGGACAAATGAAACATAATGAAAAATATTCAAATGAGTTGATGTCAAAAACATAACAATATTCAACATCAGATGTAGCTCATGCTAGATACTAAGAATGGTAAACCAACAATACAATCATAGATTAGTGACAGTCTGCAATAATATAAAGAGCCCCACAAGGAGATGGAGGTGCTTAATTTCATATAAGTTCAGTGAATAAAGCACAAGGATTCTTCAGGGCACAATAAAGCCCTCACCCATATTTGTCCAAAGGCAATACTAAATAATGTACACAAAAACGTGACAATCTACTGTTCAACAGAACACAGGGTTTTAAATCACAAGGCAACTTCAGAAGAAAGGAAACTTTACAGACAAATCCTGGAAGGAAATGCTTTGGAACCCTCATATCATATGTCATAGGAGAAGATTTCCAATACACTTGATAAATGGATTGTTTGCTAATACTTACTAGATACCCTGCATAACTCATTAAACATTCCTGGGAATTTCTAATTAGATTCCAAGGCATTCATACTTAAAAAATAAAAATAAAATAAAAACTTTTCCTAGAATTTTTGGGCTGCATTTTCCCTTTTTCCACCTATGATATTTCCATTTCCATTTCCCATTATCATAATTTTGGTCCTTCCACAACAATACAATGTAGTTTGCAAAATGCAAAAAAAATAATAAATTAAATATATACTAATGCTGGTCGGCTTCCAACCATCTAATCATGAATGGGGCAACTTCAAGAAAATTCGAGAAGTTGGAGTGCACTAACATAATCACAATTGATAACTAAAAATAATTTCCTTGAAAATTGAAGAACATAAACAGGACAAAAGCCTACCTGATGCCTTCTTGTTGTAGCGGTGCAAGAGCAAGAGGCGGCATGGGTATTTCTAAATCCTTGGATGTAGAAGTGAAAGAAAATGGTCCATCCGTATCTGTGGAAATGTTGGTGGACAATTGAGATGGCACTGGCTCAGGATGGACGTAAGATGAGTGATGCATTTTCTTCAATGTTTCTTCATTATACCGGATTATGTTAGCCTGGAAATACCCACACAATAAAATAATCAGATATTATTATAACTGGTTATCTTTTAAAAGATTATCATAAGTCTAGAGAGAGAGAGAGAGAACCTTTGTCACGTAAACAGCATCCTGAAGTTGTTGAAGGGTGTCTCTGATACAATCACCTTGCACTAAAATGTCTTCAACAATATCATAAGAGACCTGAATGAAAATATTCATGCTGTAATATCTATAACACGAATAAAAAATTGAAAAATATGTAATGTGAGGTTCAGTAAATAAATCCCATGTCATGGAAACACACACCTCACTTCTCTTCATGTGTAGAGATAACATTTGACTTAAAGTTCGAATGCTCGATAGAGGACCACGAATCTGCAAAACTGAATTGATAAGGATATCATGATAAATTTTCTAAAGCCATTTTAAAATCAAGTACAACAGCAAAGAACATCTTACTTGCTCAACCAAACTATTCATCCTGATGTTATTTTGCCACGACGATTGCTGGAGCAATATGGCTTTCTGTAGAGAGATATAAAAAAGAAAACATTATCCATGATTCCAAGCAATGAAAGGCCGTAATGTACACAGAAAATATCTAAACCTCTAGTATGCTGTGCATACATTACCACTAACCTATAATATAAATGGAATACAGACTACATGGGGTAGATCCAACATGACCCTACCTTAGAGAGGATTCTCGTTTTTTAAAATAAATAAATAAAAAGGAAATTTTGGTTATGTATGTGTAATCTAGAGAAGGATCACAAGTACAAATGCATAATTTACCCACACAAAAAAAAAGTATAAATCCAGAAACTAAAAATGGGATAAGGATTATAGATATTTGTGAGGCAGTACTAATTTTATTATCTATCAGTTATGAGTTGAGCATGATATAGAATTCTGTGTATGTAAAAATAAAAGTTTTAAAAAAATAAAAATAAATAAAGAGAGGAAAAACAAAACAGAACTCCCAAAAAAAAAAAAAAAATTAGAAGTGCTGAAAAAGGAACTGTAATCCACCTGATCCATAACATATGCCATTGCAAGAGACCGAGAAATGTTTATAGCATTTAATCTCTGCTCAGCAGTGAACCTGTATATTTCCAATTGGTTATCCTTGAATGATTGAACTTCCCATGATTTCATATCCATATATGGAGGCAAAGCATAAGATTCCTCAGGCAAAGGACAGTGTTTTATATCATGCTCTTCCCTTTCAAATTCCATCTTAGGTAGTTCAGCAACCAAAAAACCCACCACAAATGGATGTTTCACCATAGGAAAAACCACCGCTCTGCACTCGGGAATAAATTCTGCCTACAATTCAAATCAACATCGACCCTAAATTTAAATTTAAGAGTGATCGGGGAACAACAAAGAATGGAGGTTCAACTTATATAGGCACAGAGTCAAAAAACTATCATACTTGTTGATTTGAAATGGTAGCTTCTGCCACTCTTAACCCTGTTGGAACACTAAAATTACTGATTAATATCACAATATCAGCTGCATTAACTCGTGGATAGACAGTAACTCGACGCAGCTCCAATTGGTCCATTACATAACTTCCAGCCGGTCTTACAAAGACCTGCACATGCATACTTCATATTCCTAAATCAATGATTTGAAAAAAGAAATATCCAACAAAACAAAAAAAATATTGAACACATTAATAAATTATCTTGATCTCTCATCTAGGTAAGAAAAGAAAAGAAAAGAAACATTATATTTTCTCACAATCATAGTTAGATGAGTAAGAAAGCAAAGCATATGATGTAGGGATATGGGTGAAATTTCTTTTTCTTACTTTGTATTTTGATGACAATCTTAGTATTATAGAAAAAAACACAACCAATTAGAGCTTGTTTTTCACCACTTTTGGTGAGAAATGAAACATTTATGCAATAAGAGAGTTCTTTTTCCAAGTTTGCCCCTTTCCCTCAATTTTTCTTCATTTCTCAAAATTTTCTCACCTAACTTAAAAACCAAACGTGATAAGAACAGAACATATCTCTTTGTCTTCATTTCTTATCCTTTCTCGGAAAATCACTTGATCCAAACGGGATAAGTAAGTAGGAGGTAACACTACAAGTGCCTGGGGCGCTATATTAGCTGCTATTGAAGGCGATTCCAAGGTTGTACCACATCACACTTGTACATTGCCATTCAATTAAATCAACAACGAAAGCTTTCTCAGCTAATGACTAGTAATGAATGTGAGATGATTCAATTGATAAAAGCGTGATTAGTTAGAAGAAGAGAAAAGAGACACACCGAGAGAAGAGCATCGGGATGGACGATACGGCGAAAGAGATCCAACTGTTCAAGGGAGAGTATCTGAAAGTCAGGACTCGGCAGTGTCAATCCTTTCTTCTTCCCATCCTTGTCAATCCTCTGCACGAATTCAACAGGTGAGGTCGACGCCTTGCGTATAACCGACGCCACTGCCGACGCCGAAGACACCATGGCCTCTCCTCCTCCTCCTCCTCCTCCTCCTCCTCCGCCTTCTTCCGATTCATCGAGGCACACGTGACGGAGAGGGCTAGGGTTAGGGTTAGGGTTGTGGTTGTGGTTGTGGAGGGAGTGGTGCTCGGAGCTGCCGTTTGCGAGGGAAGAGGAGGAGGAGGCGTTGGTGGTGAGGAGAGAGAGTGGAGTGTGCCGGAGAGTGGAGGTGGAAGTTGTCGTGGTGGTGGTGGTGGTGGTGGTGAGGTTGTTGTTGGGGCAGAGAAGGAGGTTACAGTTGCTACAGTTGGAGTTGCAGAGAGGGATTGTAACCGCAGAGAGTAGCAGCATTGTATTGGATTAATCAATTGGGCTTAAACATTTGGATGGACTGAGTGAAATGAGAAATGGGTGAAGTCAGGTGGAGTCGGCGAGTCGCATATATATTTTGCTCGTTGCGGGAAGAAGACGTGGACCGACCGAAGCCAAACACATTGAAACGACGTCGTTACCACTTTTGTGTTTTCCTTTTTTTTTCAAATAATAATTATTTGGGGAACAAATACTCTTTGCTTATGTACTCCTTTCGTACAAACCTTGCATTACTCCAAATGATGTCGTTCAGCCTGAAAGTACAACGACAGTGGGCTACCGGTGAATGTGTTGTCGAAAAATTCTTCCAACAATCAAGTTAGCACCCTTAGAGAAAGAAGAAAGACAAAAGCAAAGATAATTCTGAGTAAAGAGAAAATTTCAAACCTCTTGCATGAAGGCAAGCCTTATAAAAGTTGTATGCGCATTATCTCTATCCTTTTTTTGGGACGCGTGACAGTATTGTCCTTTTTTCTTCTTTACATGTGTCATCGTTAGTACTACCAAACAGTATTGGCCAAACTGCCAAATGGTATTGACACGTACTTCAAGCAAATTTCTTGCCATAATTCATTGGGCCACGTGGAATACTCTAGCCGAGGAGTCACTTCTGTTATCCTTGAGCATACTAGCTCTAGGAATCCTCTTGCTGAGCTAACCCAGGTCGGCCACTCCAACCGACTTTCCTATACGGCTGAAACCATCATAGTACTCAACTTGGTCATATGTGACGGGCTCGTTCATAACTCAACCTAGCTCATGACCAAGACCAAGGCACAGTTCAAAGTATCGCTTGGTCCACACATAACTCGATCCGCGCTTATGGCTAAAACTCATCCTAGCTCGGCCAAACTGCGTGCAATCCTGTATGATTTAATCCGGTTTATCACTGACGCGCTACTTAACTCGGTTACGATCCTTGCCCCGATCAAGGATAGCGTTCTCATTCCACCTAGCCCAACCTACGACTCAAGCCCATCATTTAGCTTGGTCCCAACATCCGAGATACGTGTAGCTCGGTAGCTAGGTCAAGAGCAAGGCTTACATTAGATTTTGCTCGGCTCATTTGTTCGTCACAAACCTCTCTCTCAATAATAATAATTATACAAACTTGGCTCCGTTTGATTTAGTTTTAGAATTATAATTTGAGTGTGGAGTTGTCAATTAAGTTTTGAAAAGAGAAAATTATTTGGTTATGAGTCTTGAAAAGTGTTTTGAAAAAGAGGTTTTGAATTGTATTTTGAGTTTTGAGTTTTGAATTTTAAATTTTAAATTTTGAGTACTATTTTGAAATTTTTTAGATTCATTTTCTTAAAATATTTAAAAATGTTTAAGAAAATTTTATTTTTTTTATTTTAAATATGTTATTTTACTTTGTAAATAGTTTAATTCTTTTTAATATTTTAAATTCAAAACATAACTTCACACTCAAATCGTAACCAAATACATAACTCAAAATTCAATTCAAAAACTATTTTCATAACTCATAATCAAACACATAACTTAAAACTTTATACTACTTTCAAAACTCAACACTCAAATCATCATCAAACCACATAACTAAAAAATTAAAATATTTAAAAATATATTTATAAAATAAAAAATACAATTAGAATATCCAGGAACAGAGAAAAACAAACAAAAGTTACCAACACTCAACTCCTTGAACTTCGCACATATTTTCTCAACAACTTCATCATAACTACATCCGTCACTAATCTTAATAGCAGCACAACAATTACTGTATTTGCACATTAACATGAAACACCGCTCCATACTACAAAATCAGAAACCAACAAACAATTGTTCACAGATTCCAAAGTGCAAAATTATGCAGTTACAACATATCAATACCAACAGTGCACAATTTACAATTCCAAAACTGCAAAATTATACACTTACAACATATCAGTATCAAAACACCAGAATTCACAATTCCAAAATACAACTTCAAAACACATTACACTATACGACAAACAAAATCAACAAGATCAAAATCAAACAAACAAAATTCGCCAAACACAAACCACATATCACGCAAATTTGCTTATATATATATATATATACATATATATCGACAAATACAAATCACATACACACATAGACATATATATATATATATATATGTATATCTATGTATCGACAGATACATACATACATATACATATATCTATCACCAGAGAGAGAGAGAGAGAGAGAGAGAGAGAGAGAGAGACAACTACACAGAGATTCAAATCGCACAACCAGATCCACCTCACAGCACAATGAGATCGACCACACAGCACAATGAGATCGCCACAACGAAGAGAAATCGAGATCGCGGAGACGAAGATTTGATTTCCTATAAAATATTTACTCTAAAAAATAAAATTAAGAAAGTTTTTAAATATTTATTTAAAAAATTCAATTTCAAAAATTTCAAAATATAACTCAAAATTCTTTTCAAAACTCATAACCAAACAATTTTTTTTTTCAAAACTCAACTCAAAACACAATACCACACTCAAATCATAGTTCTAAAAATAATTTTTAAAAATAAATAATTTTTTTTAAAATAAAATTTTAAAAAGAGTTTAGTTTTAAATTTTGAAAAGAGTTTTGAGTTATGCGTTTGATTATGAGTTTTGAAGATAGTTTTTTAATTGAGTTTGATATGTTTTTGAATTGTGTGTTTGATTATAAGTTTTGAAAAGAATTTTAAGTTTTTTTAATTGAAATCACAATTCTAAAACAAAACCAAACACGGCCCTAGTTTTTAACATTACAAAAACTACAGATTGTACTGTCAAACTTTTTCTCTTTCTTTTGTTTTATTTTATTGATAATATATCATTTAAGATATTCGTATTCAACACAACAAGTGACTTTTCTTTGTTATTGACAAAAATAATAATAATAATAATTTATTAATTTATTTGAACCACATCACCTCAAATCAAATCATAAAAGATCTCAATTTCATAAGGGTCAAACCCAACACACACCCAAATGAACAAATTTAGCTTTCAAACAGATAGATAACCTTATTAGTAAGGCACATAACCATCATGAGATGAATACAAAGGCGGTGTTTGGCAACTTGATTTTTAAGTTTATTTATTTATTTTTTTTATTACAAGACAAATATTTTACAAAATTAAAAAAAATTAATTCAAACAAAATATTACATCAAACCCCATAATCATTTTAATTTTTCTCTTGCAAACATCATATCTGTGGGGATATATTTTCTGAGTACCAACACGTGGCCAAGGTGACGCCGAAGTGTCAGCCGAGGTGCCACATGTCCTGGTTGTGACGCCAAGGTTACCTCCGAAGATATCAGAATCCGGGATAAGCGGATAAGGGACAAGAGTCCTAATATGAGGAAGGATTTCAGCCTAGATAAGGATAACGCTCTTAGGGAATTTATTTTTATCTATTAAGGAGTCTAGGATAAACAGAGAACTAAAGTCCATTGAAGCAAGGCTCCTATTGAGACTAGGATTGAGCTGACTATAAAAGAGAGGCACCCCCATGGATCTAAGGTACGCAATTTATATTCTAAATAGTGAGTTTAGCACTATTGATTATCTTTGAGAGATATACTGACTTGATCGTCGGAGTGCCCCCGGGTGGACGAACCACTGCCGGAATCTTTTCTTTCTGTTACAGGATAGCTAGGTGTCATCTATTCTGCCAGTACTTTCCAGCTGAATAATTGAGTTGGCAGTGTGGTCGAAAATCATTCACACAATTTGGCGCCGTCTGTGGGAAAGAAAGGAGAATAGATGGCCAGTAACGGACAGAAGGAAAAGATTTGGGACAACACTCCTACTGGGAGTGGGAGGCCTATTGACCTTGATATCGAAGGAGACGAGTGCAACACAGAAACTCGTGACTAGAGTCACGGAATGAAAGACGTCGGCCAGACTGGCGACATACCAAAGAAACCAGATCAAAATTGATACTACAACGAGGTCGACCTCCAGGTATGAAAGGACAGATGCTTGCGGAGGGACGAAGAGGTAAAAGAGATGGCAAACAAATTGGCGGACCTACAATCGGTCGCCAATTTCATGATGCAAAACAACGTCATGTAGCCATCATTCCCACTGCAGGACACGCCGACTCCAGCGGCCAATGCCCCGAAGGGAGGGCAGAAAACAATCCCCGTAGCACCTCAGCACACCAGGAGTGAAAGACACTCTCACCAACCTTCTTGGGAGGTCGGACGAGGAGAGTCAAGAAGGGAAAAGTCACGAAGGATACATCGAACTAAAGAAACAGACCCCAAAGAACATCAGCATGTTCAAAGGCAGGAGCTGTGCTTCGACACAACTCACGGAGAAAGGTCGAAAAGGGCCCGCAACGAAGCTGAGAGCAGTATGCCAAAAAAACTGAAGTCGGGGGATAGCCGAGCTCCTGGGCGGAGCAAGGAAGACCTGAGAGATTACCTCAAAAGGAAACAACATAATGCCGATGCCGAAGTAACTTCACTTGTTAAGTTGAGAACACCATTCTCGGTAGAGTTGGACAAATTTGAGATGCCGAAGAGATTCAGTATGCCGAGGTTCTAAATATACGATGGTAAGTCTGATCCAAACTTCCACGTTGGATTATACTTGAACTCAATGGCATTGTACAGTGGGAACGAGCCGTTGTTCTGCAAAGTGTTCCCCTCATCCTTCGGGGAGATTGCATCAGATTGGTTCCACAAACTACCAAAGGGAAGCGTGAAGACTTGGGAAGGCTTGGCCGAGATGTTTGTGGCCAGGTTCGTGACAAACAAACTGCAGCCATTAAGGGTGGACGCATTGATGGCTCTGAAGATCAGTAAGGATGAAGGCCTTAGGGCCTATGCAAAAAGATATTATGAGGTATTCAATCGAATACCGAGTGTAATCAAGAGGTGGCGGTCGTATCTTTCAAAAACGGCCTAAAAGACGACTGCCCACTACAAAAGTCTTTGGCAAAGACATTGCCAAAAAGCATGGAAGAGCTCATGGCGAGAATCGAGAAGTATGTCAGAGCCGAGGAAGATACGTCGGGAAATAAGGAGACAAAGCAAGAGAAA